GGACGCAAGAGTGGAGGTAGCAGTGACACACCCACCCTTCAGTGATGGTCCCCTCCACAGGAGCCCCTCCCAGCCTGTTCTGCAGGCTCATTTCCACAGCATCCCCCCCCTCTGCCCCCCCCATCCGCAGGACTGGGAGACTCCTCTAGTTGAGGGTGGGAATCAAAGTCACAGAAGCCCCCTCCTCCCAGCCCCACTTCCTCTGGCCAGTCCTTAGTGCTCCCCTGGCGGAAGACTTCAGGGTGGGGTGCAATGGGCCCCCTAGGGAAGCCCTCGTCCCTCTCCTTTCCCCAGGGAAGGAGGGGGAGATTTGGAGCGGGCAGGTGGGATCCAGCAAAGAGCAGCTTGCAGGCTCTCTTCCGCCCAGAGGGCAGCTCACCCACCAGTGCTGTTGGCTGGAGGCTCCGAGCCCAGGTGATGCCAGGTGCCGGCTGTCTTGTTGCCATGGCCGCCGTGTCCCCTGTCAGAGAAATCCCCCCCCCCCGTTAGTGTTTGATCTTTCAGGGGGGCCCTCTCACAACCCCAGGGCCAAAAGGGATCCCCAGCCAGATCCTGGCTCAAGGGCCCCACTACAAGTCCCATCACTCAGGGAAAACGGATGGTCCCCTGAGCACCAAGGCAGAGAGCCCAGCCCCCGGCCTCTTCCAAGGACTGGGCTTGTCCCCTCCTCCCTGTGCCCTCCCGGTCCACAGCCACTCACAAGGGGTGGGTTCCCACCAGCACCAGGGCCCAGCTGAGGCAGAGCGCTGCAGAGAGGACACCCATGCTGCTCCACTGCCGGCCCAGCCCTGCTGCCCGGCCTCTTATATCAGGGCAGCCAGATGTTTCCCAACAGGGGAAAGCACCCAGCGCATTGCTTAAGCCGGGCCCCCCCTTGCCCCCCCCTTGTGGCTGCTCCTCCCTAGAGGGCGGTACACCCCCCCCCTCCAAACCCAGACCTTCCCCCCACCCCAGGCTGCCCAGCTGAGTTGGATCTGCTGCTAAAATCTAGAGTCAGTTCCCACCAGCAGCAGCAGCAGCAAGAAAAGGTCAACCTGGCTGCTGGGCCTCTCTCAATGGAGGGGTGAAGCTGAGCCACCCCCACCCGGCAGCCCCTGTCCTGAGCCACCCCAGGGCTACTACAAGAGGAGATGCAGAACCCTGGGGGGAGGAAGCTGGGGGGGGGGCAGAGGCTTCCTTGGGCTCAGCAGCCCCATTGAGTGGGAGGTCTGAAGGGGGGCAGAGGCCTGCTCCCTTTGCCAACCAGCCCAGCTGGCCCAGGGCAACAGCCGGAGGGAGAGGCTCTGCATACCTGCTCTGTGTACACAGCGGACAAGAGCCCAGGCTCAGGAATGCCCCTGCCGCCCCTCCCTCCTACCCCCCCTCGCTCCTCTCCCCCCAGCTGAAGCCTTCCAAAAAGTGACCCCCCCTCCGCCCCCCCCCCAGAATCTCTGGGTGGGCAGCCCTCCCTGGAAGGGGGCTGTCTGGCTGTCTGCTCTGGGCAGGGAAGGATCCAGGCCCAAACCTTGCAAGTTTTCCCTTCCATGGGATCGAAACCAGAAATCTCCCCGCCCAGCCTCTTCTTCAGAACCCCCCGTGATGGAGCACCCCTTCCTTCTGGTGGCGGGCCGTTCCACTGCTCGCTTGTTCTGTCAGGAAATTCCTCCTTCCCTTCTACCTTGGGCCTCTCTTTAATGACATTCCACTTGTGGCTTCTTGTCCTGCCCTCAAGTGCCTTGGAGCACAGGACGAGAAGTACCAGGTTTAAGGGGACCCCTTAGGTACAAGCAAAATGATGACTGCCAAAATTACAAGCCCCCTCCCCCCCCCAGCCCCGGAGGGGATGTCGTTATTACTCTCCTTCGTCAGCAACCATCCTATGGAGGCGTGAAGTTGGTCCCAGGAGGCGTTTCAGAATCATTGCAAACGGCTCCAAGGAAGAAGGCAAAGCTACCAAACTTTGCAGAGGAGACGCGCTTGGGTGGGGAAACCATCGGCCTGACAGTCGGAAATAAAAGCCGAAGAGGTGAAGGCAACGGAATGAAATGTGGCAAAGTGTGGGGGCCCTCGGCTGGGAGAGGAAAGGCCTGGGCAGAGCCCGAGGATGGGCGTCCTCTGCAAAAGGAGAGCGGAATGCGGTTTGGTGCTGCAGCCACAAAAGCCGCTTCCCTTTCTCGCCACAGTCGTTAAGCAGATCACTGCGATTGTTAGTAACACCCATTGTGTTACTCTGCTGGTCAGGAGGTTGCAAAAGGGGCACTGCGGCCATCATCATGCCAGTCACTTTCCAAGTGTTCCGACTTTGGTCATGTGACCAGGGGGAAGCTGCAACGGTCATCAGTGTTAAAAAGTCACAAGTCACATTTTTCAATGCCACCGTAACTTTGGACGGTCATTAAACGAACTGTTGTAAATCGACAACTACCTATCATTTGAGTCTGCTGCTCTGTGATGTTCTTGGGCACTAATAATTCTCTGCAGCAACTTCTCTAGATGGGGGGGGGGGAGAGTACATCCAAGGACCCCCTTCCGCTGCATTAATGAGGATTTCCCCCCCTAATTGCTGGCAGTCTTAAACACAGAGTGAAGCATTTGTTGTGTTTATAAAAATGGGCAGAGGCCCACCGGCCAAAGGCTGGAAATGCTGCTGCCCCAGAGCTGTGGATTTAGAGGGGAATCAAAGTTCGGTGGATTTTTTCACCCAACTTGTGCAAACATCCAGAGATCAGGCAAATGTTTGCAGAGGGCGAGCAGGTTCCCAGAAGCTCTGAAACACCAGGAAGCGGCACATCGTGTCCCACACCCCTTGCAGAACAAGAACAGCCCCCCCCCCCCGCTGGCAGGTGGAGGGTGGGGGAGGGAGGAGGCAGCAGCAGCCGCCGAGTGGGGCCTCCAACTATGAGGAAATCTCCAGGACTCTCCCAGGTTGCGCAAGGCTCTCTCTGCCCATCCCTGGTTCCCAGCAAAGATACCAAGGGCTGCCCACTTTACGGTTCCCAAAGAAGGGAGGCCTCTGCCCTCTCGTGCAGTTTCCTCCTCAGGAGCCCCCAGCGTCCCCCCCTCCCCCACTACTAAAGCAGGACAAAGTGTGAATTAAAATATAAGAATAAGGGGTGGCAAAAGGGACAGATGAAAAGCTCGCTTGTAAAAAGACAGGAAAGTGTCCTTCAACCACAGAAGTCCAGTCAAAGTTCCAGTAAATGTCCTTGTGTCAAAGGCCCCAAACCACAAGGGTTCGGCTAAAGGGTTCGCAGAGAGACCCGGGGTCAGCAGCACCCGTGGCCCGAAGGAGAAGGGAGACCCCCATCTACTCATAAGGCTTTCCCCCCCCCCCCCTCAAGGTAACCAAGAAGAAATGAGTGTTGAGTGTTTCCGTGTTGCGCCACTTTTGAGAATGCAGAAGGACGCCTGTTTCCATACGGGAGGCGCTTCAGGACTTGCAACGCGAGTCTTCTCGTTGTCTGAACCTGGCGGCCAGCAAACGCCTCCTTGCACCCCAGGCGCCTCGAAGCCTCTCGGTGTCTGCAACGCTGCTGCCAGGGGGACGATGTTTCCCTTCTCCCTCTGGCAGGCGGGGCAATGAGGGGAAATTGTCCCGGGGAAGGAGGCGGCAGGTCCCCAGGCGGCGGCGGCTCCGGTCCTTCCCGGTTGCTTCTCTGGAGAGCAACACCCCCACCCCAGCCTCGACTTCTGACCAACCCGTTTTATGCCGAGAAAGTGGGAAAGGGCCGTTCAGGAAGGCCGGCCTGCGCCCACCCAGCCCCGGGAGATCTGCCAGAGCAGCCCCTTCCGTGGCCCCGGGGAGACCCCCCCCCCCAAAGAGGACCCCGAAGCCGCCTCTGCGCTTCCCCCGAGAGGCGGGGGGGGAAGAGGCTAGGGAGGGGGGGGGGGCAACTGGCTCTAAAGGAAGCGCAGGCGCAGAAGGCGGGGAGAGGGGGGGGCATGGAGGCCGCAGCCACGCCCTCTCAAGAAGCCGGAGGAGGGAGGGGCTGCCTCCCAGGGCGCAGCCAGTGGCGGGAAGAGCCTGGGGGATGGGCAGGTTTGCGCCAGAAAGGCCGGAGTCGCTGATCCGCCCCCTTTTTGCACGCTGGGCAACGGGGGGGGGGTGACGCTCCCCCTTGCGTCAGGCGGCGGCTGCGGCGGCCAATCAAGGCGCTGTTGCCGAGGCGAGGAGAACGCAGGCGGGGCCTTCCCGCCCCGTGACGCTCTCCTCCATGCCCGAGGGGCGGGGCCGAGTGAAAGCCCGCAGCGTCCGCGAGGGGGCACTGCAGGGAGGGCGGGAGGCGGGCTGGGCCACCCTTGCAAGGAGGCGGTGCGCACCCTGGCGGCCACGGCGGGAGCTGCCGGCGGGGCTTTCCCGGAGCCTGCTGGGTCCCGGGAAAGCCTCTCTCGGGCTGAGCGCTTCGGCCGGGGCGGCCCTGTGGCCGGACAGAGCCAGGCCTTGGCTGAGCAAGGCAGCGGAGCCCGGAGTCGCGGCCGTTGAGCGGGTGTTTTTGCGTCCCCGTGGCTGCCGGAGCTGGGAGCCCAGGCGTGGCCGGCCGGCTGCTGTCGTAAGCGGTGGGCGAAATGGAGGGTTTTGCGGGGCAGGAAAAGGCCCCGCGCCCCTTCGGACAAGAGTCCCGGCAGCGGATTGCGGGGGGCGAAGGCTGGTTCACTGGGCGGTCTTAAGCGGGGGGGGGGGGGCCGCGATCCCGGGCAGAGGGGCAGCCGGCGCTTCAGGCCCCTCCAGTCGGCAGGAAGCCCCAAGCAGGGCAGGCGGCGGGGGGAGGGACGCGCTTCTTTCTGGGGTCCCAGCAGTCCAGGGGGTCTTCTGCAGGGGGCAGAGGCTTTCAGCTCCCCCGTCCTTGCATCGGGGGGCAGAGGCGGCCCTGGGCGAGGAGCAGCTGCACCCCTTCCTCCTCCCCCCCCAGTCCAAGACCCGGCGGAGAGGCGGCTTCTTTTCAGAATACTTTTATTTGTACATAATTCCATTATTAGCACGTGGCTGCCGCTGCTCAGCCAAAGGGGGGGGGGGGGAGAGCTGGCGCCCTTTGGGAGACCGGCTGAGTCGGGTCGAGCATCATCGGCGGACGGGGTGGGGAGTCGAGGGGCTGGGAAAACTGACCCCGCATCCCTTCCCCGCCTACGCAGAAAAGAGCTCTTCCTCCTCCCCTCGAGCCCCCGCCAAGCACAGGACTCGCGTGGGGCCTCTGGCTGCTCCCCCCCCCCCTTCTTGGCTCCACGTAGCGAGGGCGCCCAACTGGCCGGAGGACTTTTCCCCCAGAAGAATCGCTGGCTAGCCCAGAAATTCACCCAGAAGGAAAATGGGAGACTGGGGGTGGTGGGTAGGCAAAGTGGCCCCGCATGGCCACGGGGCTGGGGCCTGGCCTTCGCTGCGGAGTCCCACCTTAAAGCTCCCGGGACGTCATCTGGGTCCCCCGCTGGAAGCCTGTCTCGGCTTCGCTGCTCTCTGCAGGCACGGCAGAAACTCTCTCCGGTCCCCTCCCCACCGCCCCCCTCCCGGTCCCTGCAGCTGGGCGACCAGTCCGCCTTCTGCTAAGAGGAGGGGGGGCTGCTTCGTCTCCTTTCTGGGCAATGATAAAGTGCAGAAAAAAACAAGGGAAGGGACAATTGCGGGTGGGGGGGGACTGAAGCTGGGAGACTCCAAGGGATTCCTACTTGGGGGGGGGCTCAGGCAAGACCCCCCACCCCCAGAGTCATAAAAGCTGCATGGTGCCCGTAGGGAGCCTCTTCCCCCTCACTGTGGAGAAGCTTTTTGGGAGAGTGCAGGACCACCCCCAGCCCGCTCCCTAGAAGCTGTCCCAGTGCTGCGTAGTTGCCGTTGTGGCTGTTGGCACCTTGACACACAGCTGCCAGAGCCTCCAACCTGGCGTGGGGTCGAGGACCCAGAGGGCCAGCCCACCCCCAAGCACATAGTCCAGCAGGCGGGCCAGAAGGGACTCGGAGAGCCCCCCCTTCCAGCCTGCCCCGCCAGGGTTACTGCAGGTAGCGGTAAGCCTTGAAACAGTGGTTGCCCGAGTCGGCCACCACCACATGTCCGTCCGAGGTGAGCGCCAAGCCTTGTGGCCCGTACAGTGGATCCGCCGTGGTGTTGATGTAGGACAGGAAGGAGCCCGAGCTGTCGAAGACCTGGAAGAGAGGAGGGGGGCCTGAACTCTTGTCCGGCGGCGGGGGGGGCAGCGCTGCCACCATGGCCAATCCCGTGAGTCAAGAGGAAGGGCACCTCCCTGCCCACAGACTCCAGTGGCCGCGCTTCTGCTCCCTGCGTCTCAAAAGCCACGTGGCTCATTCAGGAGTGGGAGGAAAGGGTCACAAGAATAATTGGGGGCTACAGCCCCTCCCCAACAGGATGCAGTCAGGTTCGGGCCCGAAAGGAGTCGCCCTGCGCTCCCACTGGCCAGGAGCAACGTGCCGTTTTGGAGGCTGTTTTGCAGCAGTGGGGTGTTGCTGGCCAGGGGCAGAGGGGAAGCCCCGTGCCACACACTGGCCACTCCTGGGCATGAAGGGCCACGCAGCAGGAGCATCGGTGGCTGCAGCATCCTGGGGAGCGAGGGCCAAGGGTTTGAGTCACAGCCTTTGACCCCGTAGCTCAAGGGACACTGGGAAGAGGCTACTGGATCTTTAGGACCCCCTGCTTGGGGGCCAATGAAGGACCCCGAAAGAGAGAAGGGGCTCAGCCCTGATTTTATAGAGGCAACTGGAGGGTAGCTGGCCCTGGAGTCCCTCTGCCCCTCCAGAGCACCCCGGGGGGCCTCAGACTTCACCCCCCGACTGGCTGCTGAGGAGGAAGAGGCTGCCCAGCTCCCATCAAGCACCTGGATCCGGCTGTTCCCCCAGTCGGCCACAATGATGTTCCCATTGGAATCCACAGCCACACCCGTCGGAGCGTTGAACTGCCCGTTCCCCTCCCCGTGGGAGCCAAACTTGAAGAGAAACTCTCCATCTGCACTGTAGACCTGAGGACAGGAAGGGAGGCGGCTTGGCGGAGATTCCCAGGCCCAGCATGGCACCACAAGAGGGACTGCCTGGCTTGGTCCGGCCCCTGCCCCCAGCTGCCTGTTGGGTGATTGGGAGGGGGGGGCTGCTGCAAAGGAACCAAAGGTGCAGGGAGAAGAGCTGACCCACCCCACCCCCCAGCAAGCACGGAGCCTCCCCATAGCCAATGGGGCCCAGGAACCCTCATCCACCAGGCACAGCCCCAGGGCGGGAGAGGTTCTGAGGGGTGTGTGGAGGCCCATAAGCCACAGGAGCAACCGAGGGCCCCAGCCAAGCCTTCCTCGCAGCAACAGCATAGCTGCCCTTCCCCAGCATCACCTGGAACGGGCGGGGCTCCCTCTCACCTTCACAGAGTGGTTGTGGAAGTCGGTCACCACAATTTCATTCTTGTTGTTGACAGCCACAAAGTGTGGTCCTGGGCGAGGGAAACGGGAGGGAAGCAGTGAGCAGGAGCCCCGCTGCAGTCAGCAGGGCAGTTTGGAAGGAAGGAGCCCCTGGGAAGGGCCTGGAAACCGGAGAGCAGGGAGACCAGGCGCTCTTCCTGGGCCGGAAGGTAGGAGAGAAAAAGCTCCGGTTTCTCCACCCCAACCCCCCTCCCCCAAAACAGTCTGTCTGGTCCAGAAAACCCCCCTAATCTCCGAAGGCTTAAAAGAAGCCTAAGTTCCAGGTCAGCCACAGGAAGCCTTGGGCCAAAGGCAGCCCAGGAGAGCCCAGCCGGGCTGTGCACCCGAGGAGAGCGGCTGCTGCTGCTGCTGCCACGGGCTGCTCCGGGAGGCAGCCGAATGGGCACTGCCTCCACAAAGACCCGGCAGAAATGCCGGCAGAGCAGAGCACTTGCCGTCCCTTGCTCCGGTTTGGGGAATGGGCTGTTTGGGGGCACAAACCTCACCCTTGTCTGCCCTGACATTGTGCCCAAAGCTGGCAGGAGGGAGCCTGCTTCACCGCCCACCCTCTGCCGGGCATCCAGAGGAGGCTTCTAGCATCTGAAAGGATCCACCTGCCGGCGGGCGGCAATGGAAGGCAACAGTGCAAAGACGAAGGAGGCAGGGGGCAGTCCCCCTCTTCCGATGCGACTCTCTCACGGGCAGGACGAGGGTGGCCCCCCAACCCTTCCCAGCTGGGCCTGAGGCAAAGGAGAGGAACTACTTGCGGCACCTGCAAACTGGCGCTCCGACGTGCCACGGCTCCCAAACTTGGCTACTAGCTTTCCGTTAGATTGGAAGATGAAGACGCAGCACGCCTTGTTGTCCACCACAATTATGTGCCCGTTGCGGTCCACTGCCACACCCTTGGGGCCCATCAGGCGCCCGGCTCCAATCTTGGTCTGGGGAGAAAGGCATACGGGCATGTGCCAGTTCCGGGGCATGGATGTCAGCCTTGGGAGCAGGTCCTCCTGACCCCTCTGATCGTTTGGCAGCCCCCCCCCCCTACAGAGGAATGATCAGACACGAGGGGTGTGCAGCCTTCCATAGTCCCCACTGCAGCCGATCAGCGGACCAACACTCCCCAACCAACATGGGTTGCAGCACAAGTCCCGTGACTCACTTCCTGCTCCAAGCACTGAGAATGGGAGTTCAACATATCTGAAGAGGGTCAGCCAGAAGACGGGCCCACCACTGGGCAAAAGCAGAGGTCAGGCTGACCTGATGGCATCCCTGACCCGATGGGGACCACCAGAGACCCCGTCCTGTAAACCGTGTCTGCTTCCCCAGATGCTCACCTTGAATTTGCCCTCGGGAGAGAAGATGCTGACCCAGCGATTGTCATAGTCTGCGATGATGATGTCACCATTGAGGTCCACCGTGACCCCCGTGGGGCGCTGTAGCTGTCCAGGAGAGCGTCCCCGTATGCCGAAGCGCAGCCTGAACTGGCCCTCGTTGGAGAAGACCTGGTTGGGGAGGGGGGAAGGAAGCAGGCGCCTGTGAAGGGGTCCCGGGCAGCCACCCTGGTGCCCGCAGAGGAGCTGCTCCTACCTGCACGCACTGGTTGTTGCTGTCTGCCACCACGATGCGCCCGCTGCTGGAGGTGGAGATGCCCTGCAGGTTGGTGAATTCGCCCTTTTCTCGGCCCCGGCTTCCTGCCAAGAGAGGGACACCGAGTGAGGTGAGGAGGGGCCCACCAAGCCAGCCAGGGGTTACAGTGGCTCCCTTGCCCTCCGTCCCACCCGGGCACTGACCGACACGGAAGATCAGCTCGTCTTCGATGGGGTTCTCCTTCTTCTTGCCACTGCTGTACATGCTGGAGGGGCGGCGGACGGCCTTCTGGCGGATGTGGCCGCTGCTGGGAGACTTCACCCGGCGCTTGACATCGTCTGGGGAGGGGGGCACGTCAGAGGCCTTAACGGCCTTGACGCGGAAGGGACTGCTGCGAATGGGCTGCCCGTAGAGGCATATGGAAAGCACGTGGTCACCCTCCTGGCGCGGCGTGTAGAGCAGTTCGTAGGTGCCATTCTTGTTGTCCTGCACCTCGTGCTCCAGGGCGCAGTTGTCAGGGGCCACCACCTCAGCCTGCAGGCAGGCACTGCCGTTGCGCACCAGCTCCCCATCCTTGTCCTTGGTGGTGATGGTCAGTGAGGCGGCCTGGCCCACCACGGCATGGCGGAGGCCTTCACCCGTTGCCACAGTCTTGTGGGCAATGGCGCTGGTGGTGAGCAGCACGCCCAGATTCAGGATGGACTTGCGCACGCCCTCCGTCTCCACCACGTAGTCCACCTGGGCGTTTTCGTGGGGCTGCTCGGGGAACTCCCGGCTGGCCAGCTCGCTCAGCCGCTCACTCATTTGCTTCTTCACCAGCAGCACCTCCATCTCCGACCCGTGGTCCAGCGCTTGCTCGGTGAAGCTGCAGCTGCTGAGGATGTTCTCCTGGCCCTGGCGCAGGACTTCCAGCTGGGCCTGCAGCACCTGAGCCAGGGAAGAAGGGTCTCAGCCCTGCCCCCCCCCCAGGGAGCCGGCTGGGGGGACCCCCACCCTTTAGCTGCCAAAGAGCAGGGCGGGAGCCCCCTTCCTGACCCCATCTGGCCTGGGGGGCTCTGCCCATGGATCCCCTCATCCATGCGTCTTCTCAAGCTGGATGAGGAAGCAAGGGGGGGGGGAATGCCACGCCCCAGAGGAGACCCCCTAAATTCTCTGGGCTTACCTTTTGTTTGGCCCCACAGAGGGCCTCCAGGTCTCGGACCAGCAACCCCTTCCGCTGTCCCAGCGCCTTCTCCAGCTCAGTAAAAGTGCTCCCGATCTCGGCCACCGCATCGTTCTTGCGCTCCGCCAGCTGCTGACTGATCCCAGACACGAGTTCCACGGCTGCGGCCAGCTGTGGCAGGCTGGGAGAAAATGAGGAGCCCTCAGGAGCCTGGGCTGTGCAGCAGAGTAAAAAGCCCCCAACCCCCCCCAGCTGGATCTGCGGTTGTGGGCAGCCCACCCGGGAAATACCGGCTCTTGATGGCGTCCAGCTGCTGGCGCAGGGAGGCCTTGTGCTGCTCCACCACGTCCCGCAGAGGCACGGTCACATGCTCCCGGTGCTCCCCCACCGTGCACTCGTGGCACATGGCCGTCTCACAGGCCTCGCAGTAGTACTCCATGGTCTGGGGGGCAGAGGGGGAAGTTGGTGATCCCTGGGCCTTTGTGACCCAATCCCCAGCCAGCCTGGCTGACTTGTGGGCAACCCCCCCTCCCCCCGAACCCCCCCTGGTTTTGGAAAAGAAAGCGGAGATGTGGACCCCCCACCCGCCCCCCCACTGCCCAGGGAAAGCTTCTGGGCAGAGGGCAAGAAGAGGGGCCACCAAAGCCACTCCCACCAATCCTCCCCACGAGCGCCAGCCCCACACATACCTTCCCCTCGTGATTGGGGCAGGAGAGTGGCTTGCCCGGCACAGCACTGACAGAGTCCAGCATGGCGATGGCATCCTCGTGGCTGGCATTGTCGGGCTGGCGCTGGAGCACTTCCATGAGGTTCGTGATGAAGAAGTTGTTCTGCAGAGCGGCCACCCCCTTCTCGGGGAGGATGGAGGTCTGGCGGCAGACGGGGCAGGAGAGGGTCAGGCTCTGGGGAGGGATGTAGTTCTGGAGACACCTGGCCAAGGGGGAAAAAGGCGAGTCAGGACGGGCACTGGACCTTGGCTGAAGGCAGCGGACGGGGCCCTCAGCCACAGCCAGCCCTTGAAAGGACCACTACAAATGCGCACACAACAAAACCGCGCCTGACTAAACCGCGGTGTCTAAAGCGCGGTGACAAAACCGCGTGACAAATTAGCGACTAATTAGCCCTAAAGCGTGCC